ATCTCACTCTTTATAAAGACATGTTATTGGGGCTACTCCTCCCTCTGAAATATTTTTTACATTATTCAATTAAATCCCTCATAAAGTATAGGTTGAGTATCCCTACTATGAAAATCCAAAATCTAAAATATTCTGAAAATGAAAAACTTCCTGAATACTAACATGAAACCACAAGTGGAAAATTCCAGGACATTAAACTTTGTTTCAGATAAAAACTTATTGAAAATATTATATTAAATTTATCTTCAGGCTATGTGTACAAGGCACTAAGATGTCCCATATATGTATGCAAATACTCCAAAATCAGAAGAAATTCAAAATCCAAAACACTTCTGGTCCCAAGCTTTTTAAATAAGGAATACTCAACCTGTATTGCTTCTTAGAGGGGGAAAAGAAAAAGAAAAAAAAAAGAGAAGAAAATTAGTTCTAAATCACTCATGTGAGATAGGTTATACAGTAGGTAAGGACACTTGACTTCAAGGACGAAGAAGGAAAGAAACTAGTACAGATCACTAGAGCTTTGATATTTGGAATGGAGGCACAGGTTATAAATAAATATAAATGTTATATAAGTATTTTTAGCCCTTCCTTGTTAGAGATCAGACATAATAGAGCTGGTAATAATAGGATTAATAACCATTTTCCCCAACTCTACTGGGGAAACTTACTAAACTTACTCTCAAAGACCCTGCTTGATTTATATATGTAATTAATTAAACAAATACTTATTCATACTTACTATATGATATGTACAGTTCTAGGTGTTGGGGATACAGGAGTGAATAAAGGAGTCAAAATGGCTACCCTTGGGGCTGGGGTTATGGCTCAGTGGTAGAGCGCTCTGCCAAGCAGGTGCGAGGCCGTGGGTTTGAACCTCAGCACCACATAAAAATACATAAATAAAATAAAGATATTGTGTCTAACTACAACTAAAAAAAATATTTTTTTTTAAAAAATGGCTACCCTTATGAATTTATATGCCACAGAGAGAGAGAGAGAGAGAGTCCAATACAATAAAGAGTTATATTTGGGGCTGGGGTTGTGGCTCAGAGGAAAAGCACTCACTTAGCATGCATGAAGCACTGAGTTCAATCCCCAGCATCACATAAAAATTATATAAAGGTATTGTGTCCATCTACAACTAAAGAATAAATATAAAAAAGAGTTATATCTGAAGATTTAACAGATGAGTATTTAAAAACAAGAAAAAGTTACAGACACTAGAAACAAATTCACTTTTTTTAAAAACGCAAGTGGGATGAATGGATTTACAAATCAACACACATGCAAACTGATGATATAAAGTCATCAAACTTCATCTGGTAACAATGTATTTGGCCTTAATAATGAACAATTATCATCTTTTTTACACACTCTCTGGATGGAATTCCTCAAGTACAAAAAAAGACTCTTACTAATATCTGTATCTTCAAGTCTATTACATGGTAGATTCTCAGTACATATTATAAGCATGTACTGCGGACTGCATGAGAGATAACATGTAAAGGAAAGGTAGGAGATAAAAAGATAAATAAGACATTGTAAACCATTTAATATTTTTAAAAGTTAAAGAAGAAACTTAAG